CTGAATTCAATTCAAAATGCATCCTAGATATTTGTTAAAAAAAAACTAAGGTTTCAAAAAGTACCATCTTAAAATGCATATAGATTAAAAGTTAATGATGGTAATATTTAGTAAATTATTTTTTTTTGAGTAAAGAAGAAACCTTTTGTCTTAAAGAGTGTTTACTGTAAGTGCAGGGCGTGTGCGTTGGCGTCGCTGACGTTTTGTATCTTTTTCTCTATATTTATTTGCTACGTTTGGCTGCTGCCCATGACCATGTGAAATGGGTGAGACAAGGAGGGGTGATGCGGCAGGGGGTGGGAAAGAGGCGGAGAGACCCCGGGCAATAGATTACATAAAACAGCAATGCAAACACATACTTTAACACCTGCTGTTATCGCACAGTTTGGCATTGATTGTAATAGCCAAACTAAATGTTGTAAAATATAAAACCCAACAAGCAAAACTATTCCAATTGGTTTGTCCTCTCAAACTGTAACCAATGGATTTATAACTTTAAATTGGCTTGAAATCAATTGTCTTTTCTTATCAGCAATTTATGACCTGACTAAAATTGTTTAATCAATTTTCACAAATTAACTGCGCATAAACAAAATCTAAGGGAACTTTTGTGATAAAGTGGATGGTTTGTAATAGCCAAACCTATAGTTATACAACATAAAACTATTCCAATTGGAGTGTCCTATGAACATTTAAGCGGTGGATTTATTACTTTAAGATGGTTCTATCTTTTGTTATTAACGACCTATGATTAAAATAAACTTGTTAAATCAACTATGCGAATTGGTGCGTGGTTTTATGATTTACAATTATATATTTCGCAACTTTTAGTAAATTTAATTTCGCATAAACATGGTCACAGTTTGAGAGTCAGCTCAAATGCACATTTTCAGGTGTGCTGTTATCGTTGGTTTGGGAGCCACTGTGGAGATTCGCCTGATATTTTTTACTTACGTTGCCGCGTCCTTGGGCACGATTTCCTCTGCCGCAGCGACGTTGGCGTCGACGCTTGGCTGCTCCACCGTTATTTCCACGTCCATCTCGGAATTCGATGAGGTTTCCTCCCGTTCGCTATCGCTAATTTCGATGACTTCGTCGTCCATGCGTGGCAAATTCTACGTAGAAGCAACAACAGCGATCAGAGTCCAGTGCTTGCCAAACGTTGTTATTTGTCAATTCCTCTTTTTTTTCACTGTTTTTTTTTTCCTTCGCGTTTGCGTCAGTGGCGAACGCGTGTGTGTGTATGTGTGTCGCACGCGCGCTGTGATAAAAAGTTCCCGAATTTCTGGTACTTTCTTTTTATTTGCTTTCCACGCACTCCGCTGATTACACGCCCGCCTTTGGTTCCGATTCAATTTAATTGCACGGTGCCTGGCTAACTGGTTGGTAATTTTGAAATTTATAATTTCGAATAGCCAAACGACCCGAAACAGACGGAAAAAAGCGTGCGATGCGAACAGCTAGAGGTGGCGAAACATCGATGACATGACATCGATGTTTTCAGTGTTTTCGTGTTTGAACGTAAGCAAACGTAAGAAAACGTGAGGAAACGTAAGTGTCAGTAAAAAAGCGAGATGCAAGATTTCTGAAATATAATATTACTGCGTTTATTACTATGTTTATGCTAAGGGTTTCATGCGTGAACAAAATTTCGAATTCATTCAAACGAATTCATGCATTTTATCAATCTCAGCTGACAGAGATGCCGGACCGGTGGAAAAAGGTGTGAGCGACTATTAAACCGATTATTTTTTTGATTCGCATGGAAAATTCTTCCTATCGATAGTTTCCCAGCTCTAGTGTGACCGCGCCCATAAAAGTTAAAAAATACCATCCTCCATACAACTTGGTTCCTGTCTCCGCTGTGTTACAGTCTGTTCAGACAGAGTGTCTTCCTGCATCAGCGACCGAATTTCGCTTCAGCGGCTTCTTGTCCCATAAGAAGTTCATTCGCTAAAGCAGCATTTCTAAAACACTTACCGCGTTGGATCTCTTCGCCCTGACCAGTTTTTCAACAGCTAATAAAAAATCATTTGCCGCGCAAAAAATACAACTTGCTATTGTTGAAATTGTATTTAGAATACCTTAAATTCTCCGAACATAATGGAGGTTAAATCAAAACACAGATGATCGACATTATTTTTCTTATTAAAGAGTTGTTTCTATGATTAGCGGAGCACTTGCACTTGATAAAAACTGCAGTAATAACTTTCTTGAGTCCAACAAACTGATAAAAAAGGAAGTAGGCGGAGCCTGCGTATGACTCCATAGGTGGAAGGAAGCGTTTCCGACCCCATATAGTTCATATATTCTTGATCAATTGAATTGAATTGAATAAAATGTTTGTTGTATACGACGTCCGTATGAACACCATTTTCATATGATAATAAATAAAGCGAAGAGTGGGGTAAGAATAGTAAGAACAGTAAGGTTGGACGTAGCAACTATAAATAAAAAGTCATCACTGTGGTACCATTGGAAAGCCTGTTCTTCTGGCCACAACTTTTTCCTAGACCACAACTTTTTCCTAGACTACCAAAAACCCCCTCCTCGATGTTAAACAAACCACGCCAGTTTAATACGTTTACTGGTTAAAATGCCTCTTTCAGAACGTTTTAAATTCGAATGATGCATTCGAATAAAGATTACTTGGTATACATGGCGTATGCGTAATATTATTAAGTATCCGACCATTATAACAAGTGATGCAGCAGGCAGCTGAGAACTAATCGCCTTGTTGCGCATGACAATAACCATTTTGTCTCGACTTACTTCCCACTGACCAATTCGAAATGTTGCAAGAAAGAAAAAATTTCCCATTTTCTTACTGACGATAGCTTGTTGGTATGCAGCTCACTGACAAATACTGACATAACTGATAGATAACTTGAGGTTAGCTTTTAGTCATTATTAAGGCGTTGTAATTAAATTTGAATAATAAACTATATATAATATGATATATGTGTAATACTATTAGTAATAAAAGGGTATTACCTTTTAAAATAAGAATTTTTTTTTATATTCCAACATAACACTAAGCTATTTATGAATTTACAAGACAATTACATTGCTTAAATTTGTGTTTTAAGAAATAACCTAACATTCTACACACTCCAAATTAGTTACCACTGTAATTTTTATCTTTTGAAAATTCATTTTTTTGTTGCATACTTTTAAGGGTCATACCTCATTTTATTATTCAACCGCTTGGTAAGGGGGTTAACGCTTAAATCTCTTGTCCCATTCAGATTAATTTAATAATAATAACAATAAGATAAAATATAAAATACCAAGTATTTGGAATTTAATTTTATTATCGTATTTAAGTTATTTAAAATCCAAACATATATAATTTTTACAGAAAAATTTAATACATTTAAAATACAACAGTGTGCTAGTTTGTGAAAAATAAATAATATCTTACGTAAGATGCAAATTTTAACTACATATTTTCCAAACACCTCGAAGAATATTTCTTTAAGTTCCAGAAACTCCATATTTGCAATCAATTTAATATCAAATGGTAGCTGTCATCTGAGCGACAGAAGGAGAGGAAATCCACAAAAGAAGAACCCCAAACGAAACGAACGTGAAAAACCCATACGTCATGTGCAAACACAATACATAAAGACGTATTCCATTGCCATTCCATATATAGAAAGATATATACGGAACTCTCTCGAAACAAATGGAGAGGAGAACGGAATGCGATTGGTTCGGCGAATGGAAATCGTTATGGAGAAGAATCGCAGAAGGCGAAACCGAAACGAAGACAAATAATAGAAAAATGACCGAGCTCTCGGTCTCGGCACACATTGTACATAAACATATAGAGGTGGCAAAAGGTGCGAGGCCAGAATTTATAAGCAATGCTATTTATAAGCAGCCGAAAAGCGAAAAACGAACGCCCCCCGGGCGAAAAAACAAAAAAAAACCCCATTATCGTATTATACGCAGGAGCGAGCGGGATGGCCTGTCCTAGTGCTGCTCTCCTCTGAATCAGCAACACAAAAAGAAATACAAATAAACGCGACTCGAATGGAAACGAATGGGAAACGGAAAACGGTTGACAAAAAAAAAATCAAAGCTTGGGCCAGAAAGAGACAGCAACAGTGCCCCGAAAAGTATAATTCGTTGAAAGTTGTCATTTACTTTTTTAATTGAAATTAAAATGCTTTTTGTCCAAGACAGCTGCGCAAACTCCAAGTAAAACCAATGCTGTTTTTTCACTTTTTACTTTTCTTCTCCTGCAATGCATTTATTTTAATTTACTTTGCAACAGAAAATGCCAAAACAATTGTCATTTGTTTATATAAGGCGTCGTCCATGGGTGTGAGCGAGAGGGCAAACGTACACAACTGGCTATGCAAATATGCTGCCCTCTCACTCGCTCGTGTTTATTGGTTGCAGCCCACCTGAGCGTGCGACAGAGATGGCGAGCGGGAGAGAGAGAGAGTGAGAGAGAGGGCCAGGCTGAAACGAAATGAAATTGAAATGAAAAGAGGTTTTTTTTGTGCTTTTATTGGGGGAAGAGTGAGAGAGAGAGAGAGTGTGAGAGGAAGAGGAAGAGGGCGGATTTGAAGACGCACAAACGAATTGAAAAAATAAATAAAACGAATGCGAGAGAGAGAGAGCGATTACGTATGTCATTGTATTTTTCGGGGTTGCACACAGAAACTGAACACAGTTACAAATACAGCGATCAATCGCACATACCACTCCCACTTTTTGGCCTGGTATTGGTGTAATGCGAGACGGGCCACAGACATACCCATTCGCATTCGTACTCGCACTCGTATTCGTATTCTGGTTTTGCTTTGCACAATCGCAGATACAGATACACCAGCCCAGGTCGCTCTCACAGATACACATGCATACAAACATATATGCTGACTATGCTATACATATACGTTCGCCTCTGCCGGCGTCGCTGCCACGAAAATCCGAAAGGAATCGAATTGAAACTCGCCTTTCATTACGAATTTGTCATTCGTAAGAGAAGGTAATGCAATAAAACTTTTGCGCGCGCATTTCTCTCAGTACATAACGGTAGCGCTTCGTCTGTGTGTGTGGGTGGGCTAAAAAAATAGCACTCGTTTGTCGCCTTCTCGCTCGCTCTATAGCCACAGCCGCCTAGCGCCATCCCGCTCTCAGTCGATTCCCATTCGAATGCAATTCGTTTCGTTGATTTCTCCGATTCGCGAAAGAGAGGGGGAAGCGGAATCAGCAGAAGCAGCAGCGGCAGAGGCAGCGACGCCAACGCCGCCGTCGCAGCCAACTAGCTGGCATCTCTCAATCTCTCAATCTCTCAGTGACAATCCGTCGGTACGGTACTCGAAAACGGACACAGCTCCGGTTTCCAAAATTCCAGTACGAAAACGGTAATATTCGAACTCGATAACCATAAACGGGCAATCGGATTATATCATTCGAAATATTCAAATAAAATATAATACATCACGGCAAATTATCATCTTAAATAAACAAAGTGCGCGAGTGGCTGGTGTCAGTGCTTTTGAGTTTTAGAATTACTTTTAGACCCCCTTAAAGGTAAATCTATCTTCTATATCGAGTCTTTCAAATAGGGCTGCAAATAGGTTGAATTAAGCAAATCGTTAGGAACTATAAATATTTTCGAAAATAATTCCATTAGTTAGCCCATAGAAAAATGTTCTAAAAACTTTCGATAAAACTAAAATACATTACTGTAGCTTTTAGGTAGTAATGTTATTATTTAGCTTTTATTAGCAAATATTGTCCTGAACGGAACCTTTTTACAGAATGTTTCAAAAGATATTGCTAGAAAGGGAAATAATATATTACCAATTACTATAAATACAAAAAAATCTATGACTTATAGTAAACTTAAGAACTATAAACTTGGTTTAAAAAAGTTTCTTCAACTTGGTTTGAACGAACTTACCCCTCTTTTCAAAGATTACGTTTATAAATGTACATTCAAATTAATTAAAATGATTTACTTTCATTGAAAATGCAATTTTTAGAATTCTCTAAAGGTCCCAATTCGCAATTTTTCTAAATTAAAACTCAAAAATAACATAAAAGCACAAAGCCATTAATAAGCGGATGTGAATAAAGTATCAGAGCCCAATTAGAATTTGCATAGAGAAGCCTAATAAATAATTATAAACGAATTAAGAGTTCATTAATTATTTATCCGCCTCTTACCAACTCTTTTCTCTATTTTTCTCCCTCTAACTTTGTGTTAATTTTTTGTCCTGATAGAAAAAAAAGGCAAATTACGAAATCGATTAAAAAATTAAACAAACAAATCAAAAGTGTTGGCCATGATGAAGTATGGATTCTGTGACAAGTGAACAGAGTGAAAAGAACAACAACATAGCGGGCGCAATAAATAACAATATTATAAGTGAAATTGAAAGAGCCGCGGGCAATATGAACACCACCGCCATGTTGATGCACCACCAGCAGCAGCAGCAGGCCGCAGCAGCGGCAGCAGCTGCAGCAGCAGCGCAACAGCAACAGCAGCAGCAGCAGCAACAGCAGCAACACAATGGACGCGACGGCAGCAACAGTTCGCGTGGAGCCAACGAGGATCGTCCAAATGGCCGGAGTTCGCACACAGGACGTGGATCCAGTTGCTCACCGGCCAGTTCGCCAAGTCGTCATCCAAGTGCCGTGAGTCCCGTGAGCTCCCTGAATCACTCCATGATGCAGCAGATGCAGCAGCAGCAGCAACAGCAACAGCAGCAACAGCAGCAGCAGCAACACCACCAGCTGAGCCCCCCGCCACATGGAATGCCATCGGGCAATGGTCTGCCGACGGGCCTGCCACCCCGCATGCCCCACGGACTGCCGCCCCATTCGCTGGGCCTGCTCAACTCCCTGCAGATGATGCACCATGCCTCCCCGCTGGAACTGATGGCCGCCGCCCATCATCATGTGCCGCCAAGGTCGTACAATTCACCGCCGCCGATCTCCACCTCGGATCCCAGTGCCAATGAGTGCAAGCTGGTGGAGTACCGGGGTCAGAAGGTCGCCGCCTTCATCATCAGCAACGAAACCATGCTCTGCCTACCGCAGGCCTTCGAGCTCTTCCTGAAGCACCTGGTCGGCGGTCTGCACACGGTCTATACGAAACTGAAGCGCCTGGACATCGTACCGCTCGTCTGCAATGTGGAACAGGTGCGCATATTGCGCGGTTTGGGCGCCATTCAGCCGGGCGTCAATCGCTGCAAGTTGCTCTGCTGCAAGGACTTCGATGTCCTCTACAGGGACTGCACTACGGCCAGGTACGAATACGAAAACAATTGGGGGTCTTTCGTTATTATTTCAAGGCTTCACTTCCATTTCACCGATCTGCGATTGAGATTTTCGTTTAGAATCACACTTGTTTTATGGAATATATAGTTCGCTATGTATTAAAAACTTCTTTTGGTTAGATTATTAGAAGAGATTAGAATCAATTAACTTTTACATTGAAATAGAAAAACAAATAAATTAAATTTAAAAAAGATTTTCAAAACTGTTATGATTTTTCCAAAATGTAGGTTTATAAAAAACGTTAATGAAATTATTTTAAGCTCTAACCAAAAATTTAAAAATCATGTTTAGAATTTTTTTATTTGGTATTCAACCGTTACTATAATTCAAATTTCCAACCAAACAGTTAAATTTTTTTGTAATTTTTCGGTCTATGAACTCTTTGGATTAGACCTATAAATGACTAACGATTATTGATAGCTTGAATATGTTAGTTTTTACATCCAATAAAGCTCAGTTTTTAAGATTAGTTCTAATTTCATACAATACAAATTCATTATCATTTCCCCAGTTCTATTTCTATCTCTCGCTTTTTGTCGAGTGCATTTACCCAGTTAGTCCCATTTCTAGTTCGGGGTTTGCTCTGCAAAATTTTCTCATTTCCTGTTTCCGCTTTAGCCAACTTACGCACTCAACTTGCAGCCGGCACCCCCAGTTTTTCCATATTGCAGCGGGCGCAATGCAAATAGTTTGTGCATCGATATCGATTAAAACGGGCAATCAAAAAACTTTCGTCTCGCATTTCGCCTTTTGCCTTTTCCGATGACATTTGGCGGAAATACGCAATGCAAACGTAAAGCTCCCCGTAGCGTAACCCCATGCTAACTATCCAAAAAGCTGCGTAATTCTTTTGAGCGCCTCTAACAATAGTTGGTGAAACAGTTTTCCACCTTGTACGAACTTTTCCTCCTGTTCCATCCGATGTTTTTCTGTTTTCTGCAATCGACGTGTGCGGTGCCCTGTCAGCTCATTTCCGTTCGAGTGGAAAAAACGACAAGCAAAAACATAGCGAAGAAATAGGTTTTTGTTTTTTTACTGTAATTTGTGGGGGGAGATCTAGGAGTTACTGGGTCTGCAGTTCTTTCATGGTTTAATATTATACCAAAGCCTAAATAACTCCTAGGAAATACTATTGTCCTGGGTTACAGAAAGTTTTATCAGCTAGTCAATTTTAAATTACATTATAGGGTTGCCAAGTTCTTCCTGAAAGATGTCAATATTTTATTAGGTTCAGTAAGGGTTCTTGAAAAATACAAGTTATATAATAGTTGTCTCACTTTAAAATGTTTTAAGTAAAACTAAAATGAAATCAAAGTCTTAAAAACGACCAACTTAATTAAAAGCTAATATTCCATTTGAGCCCCAAGAGAAACCCAATACTTTATGGATACTTAAACATACCCAGATCGTAAGCTTTCCAAAAACGTTTACGAACAGACATTGAGACATCAGCAGTCGAAAAGATTACAACTTTGTATTTCAATATCCCTTTTTTTCTGTTCTGCTCTGTTGTTTTTTGTAAGCCGGCGAATAGTCCTGGGGTTTTGTTTACAGTTCCCGGTTCCTCACTGCAGAACGGGTTGAACTGGCCGCTGACCACAATGCAGTCGATGGAAAACCATCTAGTTAATTATGGAAAAGGGCTGAGCCACATGTATGGAGTGTGCTCCAAAGTGCACATGCGCTTTGGGCAGAGAACTGAGTACACAGGGAAAAATCGAGATCGTTTTTTATAACTATTAGAAGATCGAAAGGCAGAGATTGGAGTTTTTTCAGCTAACTGTTCTTAAGAGAATTAAAGTGTAATAAAATTAATCAATATAAAATAAATCTTTTTTCAATTCCAACCAACATATTGTTACAATGTTAGGTTTAGAATTTTGTACAAATTACTTTTTTTAATCGTAGTTCGTATTTTCTAAATAGTTTTTATAAAAAAAGTTAAAAATATTTTTTTCAATGAAGAATTGAGCGGAGAACCAGAACAGAAACTGAGACCCAGTCTAAGTACAATTCGAAAACCGAACCGGACCCAAACACGAGGAACGGTTAAAAATGCGGTTAAACCTATTATTAGGTTGAAAAAGTTTTGCGCTAAATTGAAACAAGTTGGGAGAGCGAAAGGGGAAATGCGAAAACCGCTGAAGGCAGCGCTCTCTGGGGATAATTACAAATTGCCTGGGCCAGTGGGGGGTTAAAGGGGCCTATAGACAGGGCGTGTGCATTTTCACACCCGCTTGCCCGCCAAAATGCAAGTCCGGCCCATCCATCAATGGGGAAACTTCCCTTTCAGCATTTTTTTTTGGAACCCCGAATTTTTTTCCGTTTCGTTCTTTGTATTAAAGTTTTACAACACAACGTTTAACAATTTTGCCTCACTTGTCTCTTCTTCTTCTCTTTTTAATTGCAGATGCCTATCGATCAAGCCACCAGAGAGGTAAACACACAAGTATAATAAAAAAACTATGGCAATAATTTCTCTCCTCCTACCTTTTGGTTTTTTTTTCCATTATTATTTATTTTACGAAGGAAAAGCAAAAAAAAAAAACGCATCGAATCGATACACTTGAGAGTTTTTAGAGCGAAAAGAATTTGTTTATTAAATTAATTAAACTCGAAACGAAATTTTGGGCGAGTCTCGATGGGCGGAAGTCGAAAGGATATGCCAGATAAAAAGTGCAAAAAATAATACGAAAACTGTAAATAGAGCGTGAAGAAAGGGTTTTCATCCGATAAGAATTTTCGGCGGGGCATAACGGTGTTAACGGTAGACAGAACAGGTGTGTGGATTGATTTTTGGAGATACCATATAGAGGGAAATATTTTGAAGGACCGTAAGAAATTTTAAAAAAGTTTGATTAACCAACTTGAATAGGGAAGCACAACTTAAATACATCTTGAACCATTTTAAATTATATAATTTTTTGATAAATCTCAATTTGCAAACAAAAAGATCCTCACATTTTCACTCTAAAACACTCTTGAGCTCATCCAATGTATACTCCTTTTGTTTCAAATCGAAAAAAACTTACGTTGCAATAATTTTTTATTATATTTGTTTGCCTTTTTGTGGGGGCTTCTCCTAGGGCAGCCAACCATAATAATGATTTCTTAAAAAAAAACATATATTTTTTAATGTAACACGCTCAAATGCTCATAATTACAAGAATTATTGACACTGACATTTCATGGGTTCGTATAATTTTGTCAGCATTTTTGTGTGAATCGCGCTCAGTTGGTTCAGTTCAGTCAATTTGGTTTGGCAAATGGCAAACAATTGATTTTGATCACAGTTGACAGTTTGGCTCGACCACCACTCCTCTCCAAACTCCCTTGGCATTTTTTCACCTAACTTGGCTAAAACGGCGTTTAAGCGGCATCGACCAAAAGGCAGAAAAGCCAATGAGCCACAGCAACGTGTTGTGACCGAGCTGGTGGGCACACCTTTCCACTAAATTGGACTAAAGCCGTACTCCGACTCCGCCGAAGACTTACCAACCGATCCGATCTGAGCCATGGACTTGCAGACCACAACTATGCAAATTGCTCGGGCCAAGTGGAAAATGTTGGACAAAAAACGAACAACTCTAGAAAAAAAAGGAATTGAAAAGCCATCGATTGATTTGACTGCATTTGAGTTTAATTTGTTGCTAAATTTGTTAGAGTGAGGAATGCGGGGAAGGAAACTAGGTAAATTAGTGGGAGAGTTTATGGGAAGTATAAGAGTATTTGTAAAAGCGGACACATAGGTTTTTATAGGTAGAAATGATATGGTTAAAATTTAAAAATATAGTGGATAAACTACTGTTGTTGTAGTATTCTTTAAAATAATAGATAAAAAATTTTTCTTAAATGATAGGGGTATATTATGAAAACAACTTGGGTTTTTATAGTTGTAAATAAAATGTTTAAAATTTTATAAGTAGAGGAGGTTTTAATATGATTGATAAGAAAAGTTGTTTATAGGATAGATAACTATTTTTGTTATTTTGTGTTTCATAAAGTAATAGATTTAAAAAAATCCTTTAAGTAGCTGTCATACAAAATGGTATAGGGGTATAATTTTATAAATCCATAACTAATATTAATAGAAAACTATATAAGACATTCATACAAAATAGCAGAATGAATAAAACTTTCCCATAAATCTCACGATGGCGAGTATTCAAATTGATTACAAATAACTTAACACAAATTACGACAGCCCATTGATTTATTATGTGGATTTCATATGCCCAGCTTTGTTGTTCAGACCGACTATAATTTATGCTATCCAACAATAACGGCGACTGTCGAATGTCTAATCACAAATGACTGGCTGACAATCAAGAGATCAACTCAACTCAACCGAACTCCTCGGGCTGTCAGATTTGAGAGGCGGAAAAGAAAGACAGAGGAGGTATATTTAATTATATTAAATTTCTAAAATAATTCGACTCTATGATTTTCGAGGTGTGAGTTTCATTTCTGGCCATTTGCATTTTGCAAATTCAGCTTAATTGAGTGTAACCGAATAACAAAAGCAACATTGTGGCTGCCTCTCTGTTCAATCTAAATGAGGCAACAATAGTTCAATTTTTTTTTATAATAATTACAGAGCCTAAAACAAAACTGCACCCAGTATTCATATATAGTCTGTATGGTTGGTTATTCTCTCAGCATCATGAGATGCCATATAGTCGGTTATATGGTAGGAAAGGGAAGTAAGGGGCGATCTTGGGTAGCCATAGCCATCCAACCCATTGTTGGTGTGGCATGTTTGTAGCTACATTTTTTGTTGCTCCGTTGTTTTTTTGCTTTTTTGTTGCGAACTAAATGAGTTATTAGCACGCCAATTGAAATTGAAGTGAGTGAGGAAAAAACAAAGTATGCAAAAACAATTGCCCAGAAATCTGCATTAATGCACTGCACTTCTCGGTCCGGGGGAAATCGCAAGTCGCGCTGAGGAAATTATACGGCTTTAACTTGGGGCAGGAAAGAAGGCCACCCAAAATTGCTAATTACCATGTGATTTTCATTTGAATATTTGACTTGGCGAAACATTTGCATAGGAAAATGTCGCAGCGACAGTGTGTTATATGTTTCTTAACTTCAACAAGCTTAAATAAAATAACAATGGTAACAACAATACTTTTTTTAATACTTGGCTTTTTAATTCACTCATTCCCGGACATTTACTTGTCAATGATGCCAATTCATAGTAAACATCATAATAAATGATGCCAATTCTTTTAAAGTTTTGCTTAAAACCTGCCAGAAATCTTGTTTAAATATATAAAATATATATTTCTTAACTTTAGTGATAGTAACAACCATACTTTAATAAAATACATGTCTTCTTGTTTCACTTATTCTCGGCCATTTATTTGCCAATGATGCCAATTCATAGTAAACATCAGTTATTTTTTGAGGAGAATGATGCCAATTCATTCACATCTTTGCTTTAACGCTGTCAGAAGTCCTCTTTATAAAAATTATTAAAGTTTGACTTTAGTTTACCTTTTTCTGGTTTGTTTAACCCTCAGATAGCGATCTAATCCTCCAAACCTAGTTAGTATTGTATAATTTTCAATTTCAACTGACAGTGGCTTCCATTAAGTGCTATACTTGATCATTTGGAGAAGTACAGGGCATACAACCCACAATTAGTCTGGCAGCATTTCCCTGAGACTTACCCTGGGGATCCAAAACCCTATTGCGAATGCCATGTCATTCGTACATTTGCATGTCATTTAACAATGAATGCTAAAGTCGACTGAAGTCAGGCGTTGTCTTTGTCTCGTTTGGGCTCAATGCAAATTCCAATAACATTTATTGTTAACAGCGAAAGAAATTCGAGCCAACTTCAAGCGCCAAGTCAAAAGGGGGGCTGGAATTCTTTCCCGGCTTCTTTCTGGGAATTTTCAATGTATATTGTCGGTCTTACAGAGGCTTTGAGACAAATGTGCCAAGCGGTTCGAGGGGCGAGAATCAATTTGAGGCTATGGATTCAATTAACATTCTGCATTGGTAATTGCAAATATGGAAATTGTGTTGCAGGCACACATTTAATTGTCGGTTACTTTGGCTTTGCATTGATTTAGTTGCCGGCAAACACGCTCCACAGCGGGCACAAGGTGGCAACTTGGCCATAAATATAATTGATTTGCCAATTTGCAGCTAAGCCCCAGTTTCTGGAGTGCGGATTAAAACCCCCTTGGCAGTGGGTTAATAATCCCAGGTATTGCGGATTCGCTGACAAATGCCAGGAACGCCTCTCTCAGAAACTATTCGATTCGATTCGATTCGAAACGATTCGATTTATGCAACTTCCAGTGGAGTGGCACATTTAGCACAGTTTGGCGCATATTTTGGCGGCTGTTTCTCAAGCGTCCTCTGGCCGCAAGTCAATAATTAACAACTCAGCTATCCCTTGATTATTGAAATATATGTATGTGCGATCGTCGAGGGGACGCGAGGAGACAGCTGCAAACAGGTTCCTGAATTGTGTGGCAAATTCGCCAACCGGTTCCCATCCTCCGGTTGCTATTATATTGTTTTACTTGTTGTGGCAGGCATTACCCACAGCGACTATTTTGACAAATTGTTGTTTATTCCTGACTAAACGTTTGTCTGCTGCGCGAAAAAATGCAAAATGACATTTGCGGCGAGTGACAACGGTGCATAAATTAGTAAAATGGCAGTTGGCCGAGCCGATATTTCGGAATTTGGTCTTAACCGTTGAAAATGTTATAATCCCCTAAGCATTTCCGAACGCAAATTAACAGAAAATTTGTAGCTTTGCTTATCCGGTTTTATTTGTGTTCAGAACATTGGCTTCTTAACCGATTTCTCAATGTCAGGTTAAGTCGTGTCGTTGAGTTAATTGGGGGAAATGTCCTAGTTAAATTTGACGGTCGACAAATGGTCCTTTTTAGGTTTATCCCATCGTTTTTTATAATGTTAACTTTATGGGACAGATAACAGAACTTTAACATTACATTGAGAAAACGGTCGGAATAGTTATTAATTGATCAGATAACTGATTTTAAGAATAGAAAAATATAAAACTAGGTTTTTGAGGTAATACCCATCTATCTTTTATTATCGGGAACTCCAATTTTTTATATCTATCAGATAAGCAAGTTTCCGTTAAAATCCATTTTGCAGGTCATTAATATTGCATCACCTTGTGAGCATTACGTTTACTCCTCAACCCAATTATCCAATCTTATCCGAACCCTATGCACAAGACACATTCTAGTGAAACCAAACTTTTTGAACAAGACAAACATGTCAGCCTGTGCAGAACCGAAAAACTTTCCAATGAAAGTGTTGCCCTGCCCGCACAACCTCCAAAACCTAACGAAACCGAACCACTTCCCATAAATTCATTCAACTTGACTGACAGACGCACGGGTCTCGGATTTTTGCACGTCATAGCCGGGGGAACGGCCTTCCGATTCCGATTAGATCCCAGAACCGAAACACTTTCGCTTTCCAGAGGAAAAACATTGTTTTCATTGCTCAGAATGATTCATGGCTAAAGAGTCTCTTTGGTTGACCCAAAGGGGCCAAGACAACAACTCTAGGTTGTTTGTCGTTAAACGTTTAATGGAGCACAATTAAAATCCAGCCGCAAATATTGTCTGTGGCAATATGTAACTGTAAATATTTGGAAGAATCATCGTTATCCGAAGAACGCACAATTACAAATTGTTCAGAAGAGTTTCGCCATATATATATATATGAATATGGTATGGTATGGTATGTATGGTATAATTTATATCGTGCACACGATCATTGCTACCTGTGTTTATTTGCCATCGTCTTTGTCTTTGGCTTCAAAGGGGGGCACCTGTGTACCAGCGGCAAACATGGAATGAAGATTCCATAATTTAATTGCTTGGAAGAAGAACCATCTGGTTGGGGACCCCGTACAGCTGGGCTAGGGGTCGCTCTATTTGATCAAGACCCCGGACTCCCCTTTTGTAGTATTTGCTGCAGTTAGTCAGTATTTTTTTTTTTTGCTTTTTCTGGAATTTGGACCCCTGCTTTTCTTTGGGGGTTTTATCTCTTGTTTGTCATAACTTCCACCCGCTGCGCCAAGTTGTTTATGAGTTTTTGGTTAACTATTTAGCTTTACGTGCGTCAAGTATTTGCCCAAGACTTGTTTAAATATTTAATATACAAATAGCAGCAATTGCGGGTATAAATTACTAGAAAAAATAGTTCAACTCTTTTTGTTTTTTTTCTTTCTTCATGTTCTTTGTGGCTTCACTTTGGTATAGTTGCTGTTTTTGGGCTGTACACCATTTTTTTATGGCACATAATTAAAATGGTAGCACGTTTTTCGTTCTTCTCGTTTTTGGCTTTTTATTTGTCTCAAGTCAACGGGGTGCTCACTAAAGTTGGTTAAAGCTTAATTAGGCAATGCAACTTGTGGGCGAGAGGCAGAGGATACGACTTGAAAATGGCATTTTCGGAAGGGGAAATTATTAAACAGCGAGATTCTTCGGAATAGTTAAGCCGTGATGGATGCGTTTATGGCCAGACAGGCCATCAAAAAATTATAGACACTTTTTGGTAAGGGCAATACGCTGCTTTTACAGAAGCAAATAAAACTAAAGAATTTACAACAATATTATTTTAAAATTTATTCTGCACGGTCTGGCATATATAAATCACTGGGAGGGCTATAAATCAGCATTAAATATTTACCACGGTTCTGTGCGGAAGTTCTTTTGTATAAAAGTTTATGGGTTTACTGAAAACATTTAACCCTAACAATCAATCCTTTTTTTGATCTTTATTTTTCCAATATTTTCACCTCAAAGCTCTCAAGTTGTAATTAAACTCCAATGAATACATATATTTTTTTGTTATCACTTTAATAAATAATAATCAATTAGCATGAAAATGCAGCAGCACAATGCAGAAATTAGCATTTGATGTCCCCATAATTTTATACCCATAAATTTGCTGAATTGCGACCACTGTGCTGAGGCATTTGGCATTTTTTGTACTGATACCACGGATATTGTCCATTGCTCTCAACCCAACAGTAACTCTCTGCAATTCCGCAGTTCCAGACCGGGTAGACCGCCCAAAAGGGGACCCGTGGGGCTTTCCCTGCCGCCCTCTCACCTATCGCAGCATCCGCAGTTGAAGAAACATCGCCTGGACAACGGGGACTATGCCTATGAGAATGGGCACATTAGTGGTGAGTAATCGAATACAATGTTGCAGGTACACAGGGAGAAATATGACTCCTTAAAGAGATTCCGTGTGACTATATATTGAACTGGCCTTACAAAATACCAAGTGTGACCTTGATGTGGAAAAATAGGTATAATTTAGGGTGTTTTTTTAAATTGATCATTTTCAATAGAGTTATTTAGGCTTCAATTGAAATTTAACCGCTACCACTATTTTTTCTGTGCACTTAAAGTTCCCACTTGCCGCTGCCAATTGCAATTCTCACACAATTGAGTGGCATGGCCGCAGGGGCCACGAATTCGCATTCGAATGGTAATAAAATCATTCCCAGATTGGCCACAAAACTCGCTTTCGGGGATCGTCGGCTGTATGTTTTTTTTGTGTTTCTGTATTTCTGTGCTTCCCCAATCGATCGATGATCGTCGCTGCCGCCATTTGTGATTTGTGGTCGCTGCTTGTTGGCTGATTACAGCTTACAGCTCTGCCAAACGAACAAAAACGAAACGGATACACAGCCACAGATACAGATACTTTGGCTGGCCAAGTTCCCAGCCAACGTTTGAGCCACCAGAGCCACAGATAAATGGCAGCCAGAGCCACAATCAACTCGAATTCCACACTGTGATTTGTACTGGCACAGGAAATCGCATTCAGCTGAATTTTCAAATTGTATCTGTGTCTGTAATTATGATAAGTACACGCGGACTCATATTTAATTGATTTTTACATATTTCTCTATGATCGCTAGAAAGAATAAGTCGGGCTGACAACTTGGTCAACGCCTCTTTCTATTAATGTGTCCGAAACGCACAATATTGAAAGATACCCGAACAGCAACAAAAGCCCAATCGAAAGAAATCTCAAAATCTTTTTCTTTAGAACCATGCGCCGCCGGCGCCTTCTGAAACGAAGATGGGTCTCAGAAACTGTTTGCTCTTTTTCGCCCCGTCATTCAGGGCCATAAAGAAAAGGTTCCACGAGTGAATTATGGGGCGTTGATACATGAGTGATATTGCATTATTAATAAAAAGTGCACGAAGGCATTTCGATAAATTTTTAACTGCATTTCCCTGCAAACGAACCATCGTTTAATTGCATTCCAAAGCGAACGGATTTTTGCCAATTTACAATGTGTGTACTTTAGTGAATTTTAAAGCATTTAATGGCCCACTAAATTGTCTAAATGCATATGGCCATATATGTACACAGGGTTGTATATATCCAGAGCAAACAAATGACAGCCGTAGATACACACGCCCAGATACAAAAGTATCTATATATTTGCCGTGTGCGTGGGTGCTTTTAGTTGTTGTGTTTAGTCTGGCCGCTCAGACAATAGACATGCCATATATATATATATAGATATAGGTGTATATATATAATATATATATTTGGCAGACGCAGACAGGAACAGGTGTCAGTTGGGCGAGCCATCAAAATGAAAGCCAAATATTGGCCAGAATGGGCCAATGGTGAGTATGCATTTTGCAAATTAAAATATTTACCAAGGTTCAGGGCAGAAGTATAGTAATTATTGATTAACGTTTAAGTTAGGTACTCCAAGGAAAGCTCTTAAGACGCCTAAATAAAATTTTGAAGGTTTTTTTTACTTTAAAAACAATGGGTTTTAACAGATTTTAATAAATGTAGATACGTATAAGAGTTAAACACGGAAGTATATTCTTTATATTAAATATTTCTATATACTTTTTTACTTTCCAGATATGAAGTCTCCCCTTTTGGCTAATGGCTACAATCCACCGCCCATCAATCACATGGCCTTCATGCAGATGAACGCCCATCATCCAGGGGCGGCGGCTCTAATGTCGCCTGGAATGCCACCCCATGGACTGCACGCCCGTCCCGAAAGCCAGATGCTCAAGGCCGCCGCCCAAAATGCCGGTATGTCGGCGGCCAATATGGACGCCTTGGCCAGATCCGGAATCTGGGAGAATTGCCGGGCGGCCTACGAGGATATAGTCAAGCATCTGGAGCGTTTGAGGGAGGAGCGGACGGACGAACGCCAGCAGGCGATGGGCGTGGGTGGAGCGATCGTCGACCGGGTCGGCAATGTGATGGTGGCCGAGCACAAGCCCAGGGATCTCAGCTCAAGGAATTGTAAGTACTAAAAATAAACTAAATTTAAAAATCTCCTGAGAGAAGTCTTAATAAAAAGAAATCTTGGATTTCATAAATTTGTTTAATAAGTTACACTGAGAAAACCAAATAGTCCTAAGGGTAGGAATAATACCCACAAAAATACTGTGCCATAATATTTTAGGAAAAGTTACCTACAAATTTGATAACCGCAAAGCGTTACCTTTAATTTCTTATAAGAGTTTACACTGAATAAAAAAGTCTTAAAGTGTGAAAATTGTTTCCCAACAAAATGTATCTCATATAATGTGGTCTTACAGTTTAAGGTAGTTATTCCTTAATTTTGGGTAAGACCAATTTTTTGATATATTCTGGGTTTGCAAGGTTTGTATTGCCAATAAAACACAAGATATTTCGAAAATTATATTTTCATGTAATAATTTACAATCGAGATTTTATCGAATCGAATTATCCAATTTTATCAACATTTTTTTTATCTATGTAAGATTTGAAGTCAACAGAACAAATTTTTTTTAAGCCGTTGAGAAAATCCTTGAGGCCAAAGATCTTAAAAGTATAATTGTTTTAATACACTTATTAACGTCAAAACATTTTCTACATTCAAAATTCGAATTGTATCTTAAAGATTTTTTCTTTTAAATGACAAAATAACCCTTATATTATATTTGTTTGCTAATTTTTGTAGGCTCCCCCACTCGCCAAAGTCCGGTGCTGAACCTGAGCAAGTCCGGCGGAAACACGGACCACGGCGGCAGCAACTGCGATGCGGGCAGTGAGCGGAGTGACTGCCACTCGGTGGCGGGCTCCCCTGGAAGAGGGGGTTCCCGCAGCCTGGACGAGGGCAGTCGCAGTGGCGTCGGCGGGGGCGTGGCCTCCCATGTGGGCGGCGGTATTATCGGGGTGGAGGACGACGAGGAGGAGGAGGAGAACCTGAGTGACGAGAACCAATCCGAAGTCGATGAACGCTGCCTGGCCAAAGATGATGAAGGTGAGTGGACTTTACATTGATTCCACTTGTTTATGTCAGAGATGTGCGATAAGCGATAAGTGCAATGTGCGATAACCGATAACTTAGTTGTTTTTGAGTATGTTTTGTGACATTTCTGACTTCGTTTGGAACTCGTGTCGTTTTTCTGACAGATTTGAGTGACACGGAACGTGATAATCTGTCCACCGGTTCGGCGGCAGCTGCAGCGGCTGCAGCAGCGGCGGCGGCCCACCAGCTCCACCAGCATGCCGCCGCCACCCACCACCACCAAGCGGTGGGTCTGTCCCACTTGGGGGTGGTGCCCCCGCATCAGAGGGGCTCCCCCTCCTCGGCCGAGGCAGCCGCTGCCGCCCTTCAGCACCAAAGAGCCTTGAACTACTCGCAGTTGGCTGCAGCCGCAGCAGCGGCAAATGGGGCGGCAGTGGGTGGTGGTGGTGCGGTACCCAATGGTCCATCTGTGGGTGGCGGTGGTGCCCTGACCCCCAACGAGGCCCTCCTGGCGGCCAACGATGCTGCCGCCCTGGCAGGCGGTCTGGCCCTGGGTCCGCTGGGCATCGACGCCCATGCCGCCGTTCCAGCCAGCTCCACGGAAACGCTGCTCAGGAATATCCAGAGCTTGCTCAAGGTGGCCGCCGACAATGCCAGGCAGCAGGAGCGGCAAATCAGCTACGAAAAAGGTGAGTTTCAGATACAGTATCTGCCAGATACTCTTTTCTAAACACTTTACAAAAATAATCTATATTAATTATAATACATTTTAAGAATTATCTAAAATTAATTTGTAGGGTGAGTTCCAAATACTCTTATGTTTATATTTCAAAAGAAAAACTTAGGAACAACTAAAAATTATTTTTTGACTGGGATATCCTATATATTTTCTAAACAAAATTATGTGTCAACTAGAAAATTGTTACTCTAGCGTATTTAAATTTAACAGAGACTTGAGTAATATCAAATAATATCAAGTAGTAATAAAATTTTGGTTTTTTTAAATTTAATTTTAGCTGAGCTCAAGATGGACGTACTACGAGAGCGCGAAGTCAAAGATTCTTTGGAACGTCAGCTCGTTGATGAACGTAAACTGAGAGGTGAGTCCAAAATTTGATTAATATATAAAAAATATAGCAATGTAAGAAAATATTTATTTTACAATAATTTTATTAATGAAATCAAATTTAAAACCTTTTTGCGTTATGAATTAATGGGGCTTTTTAAAGTGTAATATTAACCGGGTTAAAAATTAAAGTGAAATAAAAATTTGTTTCAAGCCAACGAGTATTTATAAAATCAAACAATAATAATATGTAATACCTACATAAAAACATCAATCCAATAATTAAATAATTGTATATCAAATTAAATCTTTAAAAACATACATTTCCTTTTTTGTTAGCTACTAGTAATTTCTTTTTTGTCGTAACATTTTCTTCAACCAAAAACCGGTTCACATTAGCGTCAGTCCACTGTGAGTGGCGATCCATCCCTAGTTGGTGCACCAAATCAGTCCTGACAGTGCGCCACATCCACATCCACATCGACATATACGTCCATGTCCACATTTAGCTCCAGATTCAGATTCATACCCAGATCCATACCCCGATCCCGGCCAGCTCCTTGGCTCTGCCTATGCCGATTCCGACTCCAATCGGGCGCACTTAATGCAATCTGACTCAAATGACAATGACACCTGATATGCCGACTGTCTGCGAATGCCCCCCTCTTAACCCCTTGGGGGCCCCTTAACCCCTCCACTCTGGTGGTCGTCGCCAGGTTGCGAGGAAGAAAAAAATAAATACATAAAGGGTTTTAAGGCTCAGGCTGCTGTTCTGTCTCCGGGCCTTTTTCAACAGAAATCACAATTCAAATGAATTTAATATCATTTCATTATTTAGTTACACTCGAATGATTGGCAAAAAGTAGCTAAGGTATGGGAGTTCAGAATGGTGAGCTGGAATCTGAGTTGCAGAGACAGAAATCCTTTAATTGGTTGTTGTTCTGGCTTTGGTTCCTTGTGATGACTTCTTGAAAAAGACCTTAGAAGGGTTGTCCGCGGGGTTAAGGGTTGATTACCTCTAGAAAAGGCAGCGATGGAGAAGAACTAAGCCTAATTGAAGGTAGTTTAGAAAGCGGAATCCACTCAGCCAATTAACCAAAAATATATCTCAAGTAAGCTTTGTATCTATGATAATAAGACATATATTTGATATGATAATATCTTCGGATGTTACGGAATATCTAGATCAAAACAAAATCATTAAGAGCCTGTAAAACTGACTACTTTGAAGTAATTTGGTAATAAACCAATTAAAGGCTCTTGTACTCGATAATTTTTCAATTACATATGCCAAGAACCGATCCAAATATTGGGCCCACACTCGGCAATCAATCGCAATTCATTAGGCTTACGACTACTGCAGTTTCTCCAGCCCAAAGGCAACCCTCAAATTTAAAAGCCGCCATTGAGGCACCCAAAAAACAAGAGCTCCACCCAAAAAAAACAAAAAAAAAAATTACAAAAAAAATCTGAAAAACCCCGGAATTACAATGCGAAAACAAAGGGAACCAGGGCAGACTATAATTGCCCACCGACTGACCGACCCGGCCATAACTTAATCTCCTTTCCCCTCACTTTGTGGGAAAATTATGGAGGGAAAAGCAGTACATAAATCAGCAAACGAAAAGCGACCCAAAATTGCATGCAACTATGCAAAATGCCACACAGGCACATAGACATCTAATTGCAACTAATAATAACGCCGGCGATAAAAATCGCAGCCATGTACGAGTTTGGAGTTTGGAGTTGGAGTTTTAGTTTCCACTTTTCGAGTTCCAGAACAACAGGGCAACAATTGGCCATTTGCAACGGCTGAGCGTGGGTGTTGTATGGATTTGGCGCAAAAATCGAATGGAATGGCGCTGCAGATGGAGGGCAATGCCATCGAACATCGACCGATCCTCGCTGAAATTCAATATGCCTGCAACAGATTTGGATTTGATTTGAGGTTGATTTTATGGCTCCACCCTCAAAACGGCTGTCACCACGCTTCATCGCATCCAGCCACATCGGCATTGTGGATCAGAGGCACTCGAAAAAATGCCAATACAAACTAAAAGATATCTTTTAAAATTAAAAAAAAAAATTATAGTCTTTATAGTCTCATTTTTTACAAATGGAAAAAAAAATATTTTGTATAGATAGTATCTTATAGATACAAATTTAAGTTTCATAATATATTTAGTAAAGAAATCTTTGGAATTTTAACATATAAGAGACCGCTTTTAAAATTTAAATAAAAGAAGCAAGTATAGTTCCTGATTTATTATAGATAGAGAAAATATTTTTTCCGAGTGCCATATTTTTCGTTTGTTTTTCTGTGTTTTTTTCTATGGCTCGCGATCTGGAATGATTGCAAGTCAGGATCAATAAACATAATTGCGCCCACACACACGGCCGGATGCGCACTTGAATTGGCACAGGCAACGAGCCAGAGAACTGGGGCCAGAACTACAACTACATAAAGCCAGATCAAGAACCAGAACCGGAGAGGCCCAGAATCATTTGAATCGATCAAATTACCAGTTACCAGTCCAAGATCGCCGCACGATCTATCTATCTTTCGCTCAGTGGTCTCAGTATTTGCAGTTCTTTTCTGTTCTCGGGGGCTTGGGCTGTTCTTTTCCTATCTCCTGACATTTCCGTGGAAAGAATTTCGTGTTAATGTGCGCATCATGATTTGCGGTGGTACTTTTGCCAAGATCAGTGGGTCAGTGATAGCAATCTATCAATCTAAGAATTTGTAAAATTTAACCTAAATATTTAAGGTACAAGATATCTATTGATTTTGTAAGAAATTAAACAAATTATGCAATGGTTTTACACAAAAACGATGGGGTATTTAAGAAATTTGAGAAGGAATTTTATTATTACGTCATTGTACAAACGTGTTGCTTTTGTTTTGGCTAAGTTGGTTGACTTTCTGTTGAAGGATTTGTTCCCATTTTTATAAGAGATTATTAATCCAACTAAAGATCCTTGCTTCCAAATAGACATTTAATGTAATAGACTTTCTTATATATATAAATAATGTCCTTGGGCAAGGTATTTTTTTACAGTATTTTTTAATATACTTAAACAGATAATTTCTAGATAAGAATTATATAATATATAATATTTTTTGAATTTTTTCTTTATTTTTAGTGCTCTACCAAAAGCGCTTCCGACGCGAGCGGAAGATCCGCATCCGCTACCAGCAGCAACTGGGCGGCGGAAGTGGGGCGGCGAAGGGCAGTCCGAATGCCAATGGGAGTGGGGGCGGAGGATCCGGATCCGCTTGCAGTGAATCGGAGGCGTGTGGCGGTGGGGGCGGTGATACCAAGTGCAACAACAACAACAACAATAATAACAACAGCAACAGCAGCAGCCACGGCGGCGATGTGGAGACGATGAAAGGTGAGTGCCGGGGGTCAAGGACACGCACAACGCATGGCTAACAGATCCCCCAAAATCCCCAACCACCCATCACCCGTTCCAAACCGTACACCACCCTTATCCACAACTCTCCCAATCAGATATCGATTACGAAAAGGAGCTAAACCATTTATAGAGCTATAGAAACCACTCACATAGATTCTTTTAAAGTCTCTAACAAATAGCTTTAAATAATATACTACTACAGATTATTAATTGGTCCACTTATAAAGTAAGAATAAAATCTTGTTTATTAATATATTAAGATAAAATCGTAAAAATAATTCAAAATTCTTCAAGTATTAAGAAGTTATTAATTTGGTATTTGTTCGTAACAGTTAAGAAGAATTTTAAGTTCTTAAAAAGAAGTCAGAATAGAAACTAATTTCGAAAATTTCCAAATAGGTCCTATACCACTCCACCAAAAATAGAGTCACCACCCAATCCAGCACCCCAAAAATGCCACCCTACGCTTTTTTAACCAACACAGCGCCCTCTTCTATTGACCATCTTCCGTAGAAAACGATGCTGGCAGTGAAAAATCGGACAAGTCTCTGGCCTCCAATTCCTCCTGTGATGTGACCGCCGGACATTCGGCTGGATCCGTTTCCGGTTCCATCTCCGCCGGCCTCAACTGCCCGGATTCCCCCACCCACTTCAAGCGGGAGCCTCACTCCGATCACGAGGGTTCCGTGGAGCGCCAGCCACGATCCTCAGTCGCCGAAGAGGTTGACATTAAAAGGTATTGTACAGATCCATTCCCCACTCAAACAAAAATACCTTTTTTTAACAAGCTGGGTTATGAGGCATATAAGTTGTTTATGTTCTTAGTTAGTATATTATTTATTGGTTCAACACCAGAGACCGGTCTGTAGACCATTTCCGCAAAGCAAAGTTATCCATAGAAGGGTTGGGTATAACCGGAACCATTCCATAAAATCTTCCATTATAAAAGTTTATTGATAATAGAATATTGTAGGTACTTATAAGTTAATTTCTTTTGACTACTGGTTATGCATAATATTTATATACCTATATTTTTTTTTTTATTAATTTTTTTAACAGGTCTGGCAGTCGCGAACGGGACGAGCGACCGCCCAGCGGATCAGCGGCTTCTGCTGCCGCAGAGGGCAGTTTGGCAGCTGCAGCGGCCGCAGCAGCAGCAGCAGCGGCGGCAGCAGCCAGCAACGGTAAAGGTCCTTGGAGCTATCCGGGCATCGACCTGATGGCCACCGGCGCCTTCTGGCAGAACTATTCCGGTGAGTTGAGGTCCTAAAATATATCATAAGATCATGTCATAAGATTCCGGCATACAGATAAATGTTTGGTATAAATATATTATGAATGAACAGTGGTCACCAGCAGAAACCGTAAGGGGAGCCCTTGGGTTGAACATTTTCTCTGCCGCCGCTCTGCCAGCACACACACAGCATAAAGCAGCGGTCAGCACACACATATTGACATGTTTCGCTGAGCAAATCACTTACACAAGCAGACTTTAAACTCTGCTTCAGCTGGTGACCGCTGTTTGGAAAATATCTCATAATTTGCCATACTTGTTTTTTGTGTAGTGAAACTTTTTAACCTTTCACCTTAGAGTTGGGTTTTTGTGGGGCTATGATATAAATCATATATTATTTCCATTTCTAAGAATATTTTTCCATTTACCTTTTATTTCATAACAGAATCCCTGGCCCAAGAGCTGGAGATGGAGCGCAAAAGCCGTGCCGCCAATGCCGAGCGGGACGTGAAGAGTCCGCTGTCTGAGAGACCGACGGCCTATTACAAAAACTCGGTCCTCTTTGGCAGCGCCAATTAAATACACCTGGTCAGGTGAGGTGGCAAGGATTTATTTGATCTCAGAGTGCAATCCTATGCGGCGGCGGCTCTTGAGTGGGAGTTTCAAAAAGTTGAGTGTACATACCTAAGAGAGTTACGATAGAAGTTCGAAAAGTTCAAGTTTTGAGAACGTTTCAAACGTTGGTGCGGCCATTTTGTATATAGAGAAAATATAGTGAAAAGATGCAGAACTTCCGGTATCCCATATAGAGTGCTTAGATCCAATAGCTCGCAGTTGTAAGCTTAAAGTTACGTTGTATATAGCAGCCGATACGAAAGACTTTTTAATGAATTGAAAAAAAAACACGATAAGCTGAAAACCCATGTAGGCAGTTGGCATACCTTACCTAGCATTTAACTTCCCCAAAAAAGAAACCATTTTAGCATTGCTTATAAACCTTACGATATAGCTTCAATTCGAGTACATAAATGTAACAAAAATATTAAATATATGAATTAAAACGTAGATATTTAGGAAGAAAGAGAATAAATCTTACGAGCCGCTTTTTAGTGTTTTAAATGATGGATGAACCTTTGATTTATTTTACAAGGTAACTTTTCTAAAGTTAAGATTTTAATTTATTCACTAGCCTAGCAGGAGTGCAGTAAGCCAGTAATACTAAAAATAGCATATAAAAACAATTAACTTAAAGTATTTCACTTGCCTAGGCGGCTAACAATAATTCATATTATATATATCTAATAATAAATATTAATAATAAATGCTAAACAAAACAAACTTGTATGCCCGTTACAAAAGCAAAAACAAAAAACATAAAAAAGGAAAAATGAAAAATGATCAAAAATTGACATTAAAAACTATTTAAACGCTTCATATGCTATTATATATACACCCTATATATATACACACATTAACTTTAGTCATAACAATAGTCAAAGAACAAATAATTCCGCGAATCAGCAACAACAATAACGGTTCAAAAATTGTGCAACATTTCGCCGCTCGCAGTAAAAACACAGAAATTATTATAATAAATACGATTAAAATAATACAGCAACCGACAGCAGACAGACAAAAGAACAACACCAACAACCAAGCGAAAAAGTTTAAAAATAATATATAATAATAAATTATTATTGCAAAAATAATAAAGCGACAAACTGTGTTTTCATTTATTTTTTGGAGGTGTCTGTGGGGGACCAAAAAGTGGGTGATAATTAAATTTATTTAATGGGTGTTTTAAATTGGTGGAAAAATTTGTAGAGACTATGGAGCTTTTCAGAGCTTACAAATAATTTTTTGGATCTTAAATGAATCAAGGAGGTAAGGTATTTGAAAATTGTTTTGAAACGCTAAACTTTTTAAAAAAGATAGATTTTCTGTAAAAGGGTTTGTTAAATTTACAGAATGTAAGAAAGATTTAAAAATGAGATTAAAATTATTAAAGCATGATAAAAATTGTAAATGTCTTAGGCTGATAGCCCAAATAACAGGAAGCGCTATTATTCTCGATCTTCTGAATTAATGATCCGTAATCATTCGCATAGGATGTATCTTTGTTTAATTGCTGTCTATACAAAAGCCTTTATGCTTCGCAGATTAATTTGTTGTGTGCTGGGCCTCAATTTGGTCTAACATATGCCAGTCTATGCGATTTTAGCATTTAATTATAGCACCCGAGCAGACGTTCATCAGAGGAGCGTGAGATACCCGCAAAAAAAAGATGAGATATACGAAAACCAATCGATCAGCGACCCGGCAAATTCTTGTTTTTTTTCTTTTTCCATTTTTTTGGCCATCAGCTGCGAGGCGCGCGTTTGGACAGTTATCGATCCAGAATCCATAAAATGTATACGCCAGATGATGATTTATGCGTCTGGGCTCAAGGGGATCAAATCACTTTGGATCAGCTCTCAATCTCTGATTGGCGAGAAGAGACCGCGCCGAATCGGATTCAGAAACAGAAACTGCATATTGTGATTATGATTATTGGTAAATTATATTTAATTTACAGTTAAACGATCACGTATGTACGCCAAAGGCCCCGAAAATGTTTTCGCCGGAGACCCAAACACACTCCAAAAATACCTTTCCGACCTGACCTCAATTATCGATTTAACTTTATTATTGGTTTTGATTTGGACTTTTTGATTTCGCAGGGCGCATCTTGGCAGGAAAAAAGTTGAAATTAAAAGGAATGCTGTTGATTGCTATGTTCGTCCCGATCGAAAAAAATAAAAAAAAGGGCACTTCAAGAGGTATGGGGATACATATGTGTCGCTGGATCTGGAGCATTAGGTGGGCAGGTCGCTTAATTCTCGTTAATTTCTCACTGGCAACGTGCAGCGTTTAGCTGATTGCGGGTTTCCCAGTCGATCGTCGCTCCTTTTCCCTTTCCAGTCGAGACTTAAATTGTGGCAATCATATTTTGTGTTAAATGCATTAATTTTAAGTTTTATTGAAGGCTCTCTGCCCATATTTAACTGTTATTTCGCCAGTTTTGCGGGAACTGGTTGACAATAAATCAGATTTATTTGAGGGGCGGTTCAGCGGGCCAGTTATAACTGGGTTAATCATGGGAACGCAGGAGAAATCAACGTATAAGGTCAGGTCTAAAAGATGGTATGTATTAGGGAGTTTCCAATGGGAAAGTTTTGGGAACATAGTACACCATCTTTTTTTGGTATCCTAACAAAATTTGATAATGCTTATTTAAAATAAATAAAACTAACTATATACACATGGATAGTTAAATATATTCATCCTTTTGTTTTAATAATCGAAGGGATATTAGGGAGATTTCGATGGAAAAGTTTTCGAAACACAATACTATACCTTTTTTTGGGACCTTCAAACACATAGTTAATGCTTATTAACAAATTATTAATTAATTAATAAATAAGAAAATATATTTTTTACACACGGTTAGCTATACATATATCTTGTTATTTTTATAAATGAGTATCTTAAACGACTTCCTAATAATTTACCAATACCACCTGAACCCCAGCCTGCAACTAATTTACTAATCCCTTTCGTAAGAACCTTTCACATGACCGGCCATAGATCATCTGTGGAACATCTAACAGCTCTTTCATTGTAGCTCTTGTCAGGTCTCATAGATCATGATTCTCCTCCCGGATCGTGGATCGTGTATGCTGTTGACAAGCAACTGTCACCACCAGCGGCCCAGGCGCCATATTGTTGGGGCTCCACTTCGACTTCCACCTTTACCTATGCCTTACCATTACCTCTAACCGCATCTCCCAGTTCCAAGTGCATCCTTTTACCTTGGGCCTCCAACAGCATGGCAGGCAATTTCCACACACAAATAAGCCGCCAATTTGCCCCCTCTATAGGGCAGATAGTCCATAGACCAGACGACCGAAACCAGGCAAGCGAAACCCGCCGGACACTACGTCAACTCCGAAGACACGTGAACATGGGTACCATGGTAAAAGTTAGGAAAATTGTTCTCAAATTATAAAAAAAAAATATATTAAATACCAAGGAATCATTTTACAAGACGTTTAGGTTATAATGATTAGGTTTTACTACTGTTTTGTCTCAATACAATCATCGTAGATATTTTCTTTTCTATCCGATTAAGATCCCTACAAAAAAACCTAAAGGTACTTGTTATTTTTTCTTCAGATAAGTTTTTATAAGTATAATTTTGTAAAGTCTTTGTTTTTTCAGTAATTTGTTATCGATAGATTTGTTTTATATTTTGGAAAATTGAGTAATTTAATTTCGGTAGATTTAAAATTTAAACATAAACTATTTTTGTATGTTCCCAAAATTTTTTAATAATGTCTATAAAGTATTTAAATAAGAAACCCCAAAAACTCCCAAATAAATTAGCAATAGTTTTCATTTAACCCACAGTGATGGACTTAAAAAAAGCTAGCTCTTCCTCCGATGAGTCCCTGGTTATAAATCAGTTTGCGCGGCTTTTAATAAATTGTAATTGAGTCGCGAGTCGCGACTGCAGCTCATAGATACATTTGTATCTGCTGTTTAGCTGCTTAGTTCGCCGGGGCTTGTATCTTTAGCTTTTGGCTGCGATTGCGATCGCGTGTGGGAATGCAAAGGCGAAGATTCGCAGGCGAATCTCGAGCTCGAGCTTCGAGCTTCGAGGGACCTCAACCCATACGATCCGATCCGATTCGAAGCGATCCTTATAAAGCGGGCTGCTGTTAAGTTAACCCCTCTGCACGTTGTATACATGGCACTTTGCCGGCTGTCGCCACTTCGGTTGTTGGGTTGTTTGGTTGTTTGGTTGTTCGGCTGTTTGGTTGTTTTTCGTTGTTCGGCTGTTCAGAACCCCCGCCCATTGCCCTCCATCCAGCATCATGCTCGAAAATCACGTAATGAAAAATGTTTTGTGCGCAATTTTTCTTTTCATTTGTTTCGTGCCTCTCCAGCTTGCGAAAAAGGAAAAAAAAATATGGTTAAAGATGGAAAAAAGACTGTTTTGTTTCGCTGTTTGTGTGTGTCGAGCAGCAATAAAACCCATTGAACACGAGTTGCTTTCGAGGCAACATGAACAATTAATGCAACATATGTTAGCGGGCCGCAGAAACCGCAAAGCGAGATCTGCAGCGAGATGATCCTTTATGCATTTAATGGCCTTCCAAACAAATCGAATTAGTTGCCAACGCTCGGGGCTGGCAACACGCGAGCGGAACTAGCCAAATAGAACTTTGGAATGTAATACAAAGTGTGTCTGAATGCCCCATGGGAACTAATTGGTACTCTTTGGAATTTTAAAGCTTGCCAATATTAAAAAAAATATTATTTTATAGTCTTGATATCTCTTATACCTTGCCAATATTAAAAAAATATTATTTTATAGTCTTGATATCTCTTATATCATCTAAAGAATTCTAAAAATATTTATTAAGTGCTTTTAAAAGTGTTAAGATTATTATATAATCATCGGATACTTTAGACTGCTTAAGAAATAGTTGAAATTTAGAAAGTTTTTAAAAGTAAATTTTAAAGTAAGCGAATAAATAAGAAGATTTTCGATTGAAGATAATAGGTAATCATAACATAATCGTAACACATCTCTCAAGAATTCACCGTCTCACATGTGTACTTGTTCCTACTTCATGACATTTTCCTTCAACCTTCTGCCACAAGTGTATTCGAAATTAATTTCATAACAAAGATTACGGGCTACACCCCCAAGTCCAAGGCAACTCTCCTGTTTCCCCGTTAACTTCCACATCCTCCTCTAATAGTTACAACTAGACTTTTTTCTAATTGAAACTTTTTTTTTGCAATCGGCAAGCAGCAAATAGTTCGATCGATTGCCAAGATACGAATTAACCCAGCAGATACGCAGGCTGCAATCACACCGATTGCACCAATGCATATGAAAAATTGTACTTTTAATTGTATCTTCAGCCTATGGGCCATAGGCTATAGACCAGGCACCCAGGTCCCAGAACCCAGATCCCAGATCCAGCTCTCCTCATCGCTTCTTTAATTGCTTCGCATTGGAGGCGAGGAGAACTCGTATTTGTTTTGAGACTTTTGGGCGGGCAATTTATGGCTTATCATTATTTGTGCTTTTAATTTCGGTCTTCCTTTTCTCAGGTGGGTGTGATGAGGGCGGGGGAGGGTTGAATGAAATGGAATCGTTTGGGATTCCTGGTGAGCAGGTGGATTTTCATGGGTTATGGGTCAGCTAGGGAAACGGTAATGCTTTAAGGTATGCCAGATTTTAAAGCAGGTGCTTCCATTGGGAGAAAAATGGAAAGAACTTGACATAATATGTGTTCATATTTTTATTTTATCATGATATCTTATTATTTTTATGTTTACATTTTAGAGAGCATATCTTTTTTTAATCCTAAGTACCAAAAATCAAGTGTTTTAGAATAATCATTGTTGAAAAACAGATTTTCTTGAGTTATGGGTCAGCATGGAAAACGGTAATGTTCTAGGGCATGTACGCTTTTTAGGCGATAAAGCTGGTGCTTAAGTTTGAAAGGAGACTTAAAGAACCAGATTTTATAAAAACTAAGATGATATATTTTAGTTTTATGTTAACATTTTGAAGGGCATATCAAAATAATCCCAAGTACCAAAAATCAAGAGTCCTAGAATTA